TACATAGCTGCAAAGCCATATCTGGAGAGCAGACGCCATATCGAGGAACTTCTTTCTTCATCTAAACCCGAACTGAAAAAATCGAGATATTTTATAAAAATTACTTGAGTAGAATGAAATATGTGAGTAAATTTTTATTTTTGCCTTACACATTTCTCTTTTGTTCAATGAAATTATTAGAATTGTGAATCGCCTTCGACGAATGACGACGATCGGCTTTTGCCATAGATGATAGATATTATAATATAATATGTTGTTATCAGTTTTCGAGTTTTTGAATTCTTTGGATGACACGATCCATTTTTTATTTCAGATTCCGAAACAGAATATCATTCGGAGTGTTTAAATACATACAATTCAGAACACGGAATTCTGCGTATAGGCCATTTAGATACACTACTGTCGTGAGTCCATTTTTTTGTCCGGCATCTCAAAATATTGTTTTTCGTCTTAACGGTTAAACTATAACTTAATATAAAACTCTAGAAGTGTCGAGACTTGAAAGAAATTCAAAATTAGTCAGAAATTTACTGAAGTAATAAAAAAATGGATACCTACTTTAGTTGTGCCTATAATATTCTCTCTGGGCTATAATAGTGTGCAGTCACCGATATATTTGCTAAAAAATTGTGTGATTATATTATTCTACTACACTATATACAGCCGTGTAGGCTGACCTAACTAAGGCTTTCACATAAAGGCAAGTGACGGGGGAAAAAAACCTTATGACAAAGTCAAAAAATGTATCGCTTCCCTCGTACCTACCTATAATTATTGTTTTATTTGAAAACGTACCCTACAAATGAAGTACCTACAAGTATAGTTTATTCTTTGCAGAGGTCGCTGTGGATATTTCTTAAAATAGGTATTTTTTTTTTTAAATCATGAACATTTTAGGTTTGTTAGTTAGGTAGGTACACATGAATTTACTAGACCAATTGGAATTAGGCCAAAAAAGTTGTTAAATTACGTAAATAATAAGTCACATGTCACATATCTTATGAAAACAAAGATGAATAGAATATAAGTTGACTATTTGAAACAAAGGAAATCTAGGTTTGTAGTGTAATAATGAAAAAGTTCTAACTTGTAAGTGGTATGAACTATAAACAATATTGACAGTTGACAAGAGATGCATACTTACTCTTTTATATACCAATGACAATACTATGCTGATATAGTAACACAACTACACAAGATCCAAGTGAGATACATTTCCAATAACATTAAGATGTAACAATTAATGCTGAATACGGTTTAATGCTTTAAATTATATATACAACAACAATTATTTGTAATATGTTTTGTTTTAAAGGCAGTTTCCAAAACGTACATATATTAATATCACTATATCAGTTGTAAAAGTTTTCAAACCTATAAGTCATATAAAAGTTAAAAATTGTATTTACTTGTTAAAATCTGTGTATATTTTATGTATAAGGGAATAAGTACATTAGTAACACGATATAGACACATAAATAATGGATAAATTATTAAAAAATTGTGATTTTATATCTGTATTAAAAAAAAAAATGTACAGCTGAAATTGAAAATATAATTTTATATATTTTTTGGTTAATGTTTGTCATTCAATACAAGCAAAAAAAAAAAACATTTAATTGTAGATAAATTAACAAAATATAACTTAAGATGTATGAACTGAAGAATACATTGTTGTGTAGTCAAGATAGGACATGTTTACTTTGATGAACTGATTCAGTGAATCATTTGATCATAAAAATCATAAGTCAACTTGTTCATTTGTTTGTGACCCCCAAAAAGTTAAATTTGTGGAATCATTAATCAAATCTTCGATGAGTTGTTTCTTATCATAATTATACAAAATTAAATCAAATCACTTAATTCTAGTTCAAACATTAATATAAGTCTTAAGTTAGTAAACTAGGTTTAAATACAAAATAATTATTTGTAAGAATGGAAATATCCATTATCCAAGTAGTCACTATTTCCATTTTTTCGTTTTAATAGAAGAAATTTCAATTAAAATAATGTAAATTAAATTATTTTGTTGGCATATCAAAACGATAATAAATAAAAATCATCTAGGTACATCCTAAATAGAGTTAAGTAAAAAGTAATAATATTACCCCACAAACTATGTACAGTAATTAAAGATAATACATTTATCAATAGAATAATATGGACAACTTGCTGGACAGTGAAATGATATAATTTAATCTTAAGTCGGGTAAATCAATCACCCAGGGCAATTTTATTTAAAAATAAATATTTTAGCAAATTGAAAATGGAAATTGATTTCTTAAATAATATTTTAAGAATTTTATAGTTTATTTTATTGTTTATATCTATGAATAAGAAAAATTGCAATTAACTTAATTATAATATAAAAATATTAAGTTCAAAATAATACAAAATTTGTTTGTTATTTTTTTAAAAATGTTTTATTTGTAATATTTATTTATTTATTTGTGGGATTATTGTATAAGTTAGTTTTATAAAGTAGGAAGTTTTTGTACATCAACTGTCTCGAGTAGCTGAAGTTAATTGTTGTTAATGAGATGAATACCTTTATCTAACTTGAAGACAAATATTTCCAAAAAAAATAAACAGATGTCATTTGAATACTTGGCTTAAAGAAAATAAAACCAAAACTCTATTGGTAGCATATATTTTATCAAAAACAGTAATTGACTTTGATATAAATGTAAGTTAATAAGTATAAATCATCAATGTTTTTTTTATTTTTATTTTTGCTACCTTTATTTAGCTAAACAAGTAAATAAACAATAAATAAAATATTTCTAAATATTAATTTTTAGCCATTGGTAAATTTAAAAGTACTTGCAGTGCTTGGATTATTTTATTTAGCTGTATTGGATCAGCACCATCTAATACATTAACTTAACACCATTACAAAACAGTGTTAATTTTTGAACAGCAGATACATTATATTTTAATGATATTTAAGCAAAATCTTCAGCTTAACACTTTTCTTCATTCAAATATTATCATATATGGTATCCGGAATTTGTCTCCTAAAACTAAATCCCCAAGAATATTGTTCATGTGCTGGCCATGGCTCTAAAAAATTGGTATAAAAATGAACAGAAGACCCATTTGAACTGAAAACCACAAAATTCTATATTAATTTTATAGTCTTCAAAAGGAAATTCATAGAATTTTAACAAATAAAAAAACCTACATTATATTACATAGTATATTGTGTTCTTTTTTTTAATTATTTTTTTCTTCCTTGTTTACCTACATTGGGTTATACCAGAAGTTAATTTATAAGTCCACTTTTAAACGCTGTACCAATTACAGTGATAACGCAGTCGATCTAGAGAACAAGATTATTAAATTTGATAAACCTATCTATATTGGTAATTATACTTAACATTTTTGTGTTCAACATTTACTTACACGTTTATTAAATTTTGATTAGGATTTTGTGTGCTTGATATTTCCAAGACAAAAATGTATGACTATCACTATAATGCGATGCAGAGACACTATATGGGGACAAGATTAGGTTTATGTATACTGATCAGTGTTGTAAAAAAATACTTTTAAAAAGTATTTGAGTAATTACTCAAATACTTATAAAATAAAGTATTTAAAATACCACCCAAATACTATCTATAGTGAAGTATTTGAAATAATTTTCAAATACAAAACAAAAAAATCAATTTAATTCTGAATCATTCATAATATATTATATTAATCGAACATTTGAGTGTTGCATTTTAAGAACATTATTTGTTCAAAATGCTGATCCATCATATTTGATCTTTTTTTTGTTATTGTTGCACCACCACTACTAAAAACTCTCTCTACTGATGCACTGCTAGGTAGTGGAATGTTGTACTTCACAAATATCTGAAAACTAAGTACAAATGTTTTTGTAATATTACTACTAATAGTACAAGAAGTTTTCAACTAATCTTACTTTTTGGATAGTGGGTAAATTATGCAAACATTCTAAATTCTTTGTTGGAGATGTGCCCAAATATCTATATCTATCACTAACTGTTGATTTTTCCTCTCGGGAATTTTGTGACCAGGTAAAAAAAGTAGATTAATTATCATTCATTTGGTTACCTTCTACATCATTATTGTCATTATCACTGGTATGTAAGTCATAACAGGCACTTTTTAAATATTCTGGGACCAATTATTTTTTTATATCATTTTTAATCTATGATTTTTTTAAAAGTGGGTGGAAGACTGCAGCAGTAATTAAAAATGTGTCTATCAAATAATTGGAAATTCTTGTTTTCATACCTAAAAAACAAAAAAAATATCAATAGTTTATTTAGCTCATGAGTATATAAATGTAGGCATTACACAGAAATACAAATATAAATAATAGATCAGCTGATTAATATGTTACATTATACATCAGTAAGACTGTTAGAACTAAGAGATACTATATATTTACTACTTAGTAAATAGTATTTACCAATAAAGTAATCCAAAAACAGCTAAAATGGAAAGAAATTAAATGTGTACAATTTAAGTACTTGGCTAAATAAGATTAATGTATTTAAAAAATATCAATTATTACATACCAAGAAGTATGGCAGTCACCAGAAGTTTCAAATAATTAGATACTGTTTGATCACTTGTCATTAATTCATATTTATAAATTAATTCTTCAATTGTAGGTAGAAGTTGACCAAAGTACAAGTTAGTATCACCCTGAAGTAAATCCAAGCTTATTGAAATTGGCCCCATAATTGTTTGATATTGACTCATGAAATAAATATCACTTCTATTAAATTTGAAAATATTGTTCATAAAAAATATAGATAAAATAATTAATAGTTTTTTAAGATTTACAATTTACCTGTCAATAGCCAATGTGTCCATAATTATTCTAAACTTAAGTTCATTATTTTAAATTTATTTAATAAGCAGCACCACTGCATCATACAGTGAATTCCAATGTGTCTCGTTGGGTGTAATTAAATAAACAACAAGATTTTGTTTAAATAAATCAGCTGACTTAGTTGAGTGACCTTGTTTATTCCACAAAGCAGTAAACTTGGCAAAAGTGCTTCGTGACTGTTTTTTGTATGCAAGATTAGACAAAGCTTTTTTAGAGTCCTAGAAAAAACAAGTCATACAAATAAATTATTTTATTTTGTATTTAATTTGTACAAATTTGTAATAAATAATAAAAAATTAAGCAAACATAATTAATTGATATTTAAAATTGAAATTTAAGCATAGATAATAGAAAATAGTTAATGCCAATCATATTCATACTTATATCTTAGAATACTTTTTTTCATATATTTTTATCATTTAAATTGAAAGAATGTATTACAACTCATACAAATTTGATTATGAGTATTAAGTGTTAAACCTACTACCTAATAGTTTTGTCCTGATCACTATAGGTACTTACTCAAAATATATTCTTTTCGATAAAAATATTTTTAGTATTTTATAATTTAACTATATTAGGTTATCTACTTAAATAAATGTTTAATTACCATTGTTGATATTAAATTTATTGTGTGTGCGCAACATCAATGGTGTTTTGGTAACGCATATGGCAAATCATGGTCTTCATCATTTAGAATGTAGAATGCGTTGATTTCTTCTAAATCATTAACAACCGTATCATTCACTAGCAATGTATCAGTATATAGTCATGTAGTCATGTAAATATCAACTACTTTAGTTGATGCTGCAACTAAAAACTGTTTAGTAAAACAAAAAATAAAAATAAACAATACACATTCTTACTTTAACTAGTTAATTTTTTGTTGTTCAAAAAATCTTCTAAAACTGGTTGTTTTGTCTGGTTATTTTTATTTGATTGTTTTAAAGAACTACCAGTATTATGCTTCAATGATCCATCATTGCATCTCTTTGAAGAGTTTTTGTTCGCTGCATTATCAATGTGATCATTTTTCTTTAATATAGTTGGATGTTGTCTGAATAAAATGAATTAATATTATCTTTTACAGTTTTACTTAACATTATAAGTTTTAACAAATAATTTACATTTTTTAATCAGTGGCACAACTGGGATTTATTTTTGAGCTGGGTGGGGGTTATTTATTTAATTTTATTTCATATACACCAGAATACTGAGACTGGGCTCCTCTGAGATGACTCGTGTAGGAGCCCAGAAAAATACATAATATACCTAGAATAATAAGATCTGTGATACATCTTAAGCACTTGAAATTTGACTTTTAAAAAGCTGTGCGCCACTGTTTATGATGTATTTTTCAATTTTTGTAATATATTAGGTATTTGTGTGGTATTTAAAATTAATTTAACACACAAAATATTAGATGGATCAACTGGCATAGGCAGGTATGAAATTAACATTGTACTTACACTTAAATGTTTTCTTATATTAGAGTTTGAACGCGAATCCACCTTGTAACACTTAGTATCAAAACAACTTAAGCGCTTCACTTTCAGTTTCTTGTAAAAAAAATTATCCTCAATGACTCTACATACTTTAAAATATTTTTGATAATTTAGCCAGGGTAAAATCGGTTCTTCTGAATCTGCAACTTGATCGACTTCGGTTGAAGAATCACAATCACTCATTGTATTACAATTTAAAAAAATGTCAACAATGAAAACAAGAGTATACGGTTGATGCAATATAATTATTAACAATCTGTAGACTGTAGGAACGTCGAGCAGACAACAGCGAACACGATACGAATGATACGAACCCAAGTAATAAATAATAATTATTACAATAGCGTAAAACAGCGTAGGGAGGGCTATACATGCAATATTGTAATAGTATAACTGATTGTGCGGTAATGACCAATTGGAAATTGGTTATTCGTAGTCCGTACACACAAAAATAATATTATTTTCTAATAAAATTATGAAAATAAGATAATACCATGTTCCACATATTATTATGGTGCTATAATATTAATAGGCAATAGCCATATCCATTTATTTATAGCAGAATCAGTAATCAGTCAATATGTATGTTTTTTTTTTTTTTATATTATATTTATAGCTTTTAATTAAAAATAAGTCGTACCCGCATATTTTGTTGTCTCTGTACACAGTACACACCTACAACCGTACGAGTACGACATATCTAATGTTCATGTAATATTTCTCTATAATATATTATGTTGATAGGTACCGATTATTCGATTATTCTATTATTCTATAATCAATGGTACCGATAACGTACCGTTGCGATCTTCGTCGACGATAAAAGGACTAATTCAAATTTGGCATTGTATACATTGTCCGGCCATTGTACTATAACGCCCAATTAGACACTTTGACCCAACATATACATAATATTATAGATTATATTATATTTATAGGAATATATTTTAGTATATGTAATAATATTGTACAATAACAAAAAATAATAAGTGCTTATAAATTGATAACACATACACTTTTACATTTTATTTAAATTTTAAATACTAATTATAGATATAGTACCTACCCAAGTAGGACTACTAGGACTTTTACTGCCCGAAACCGTGATGACGGGCACACACACAAAAAATATAAAAACCTAAGACAAGTTGTTTTCTATAAAGTTTTTTTTTGATTTTTATATAATTATAAATATTAATTATGGTTTAAAAAAAAAGTAGTAATTTTATTATTGTTTGGTATATTTACTTAAAATGAGTTAAATGAAGAAAGGTGGTAAAAACGATAAAACAGTTTTATAATAAATATTAAATTTAAATAAGATTATGAATGTGTAGATTCTCAAAAAATATATTTTTCCCTCGCGTGAATAGAGTCCAAGTTACGCCTATGCCTTTGAGGGACTTGGTTCACTTTTACCTAAAGCACGTTGTAATACACAGAATAGGATCAAGCGTAAATAATGCACGATTGCACTTCCTACTGCATAGTGCATGTGCGATATTATATTATAATCTAACTTCGGACGGATCACTATTTTAATATTATAATGTTATATTTTAATAATAACACGGTCATCCGATCGCGGCCGGCAAAGAACGTGTAGTGTGGCCTTCAAAAATATGGTAACAAAAAAGCGAGGTCCGTCGCATGAGCAAGGAATGTCTCGTAGTAATATAATAATTTGTTTATCGTTTATGTAACCACTAACCATTATTTAAATAATTGAATGTAATATGTTGTATGTGTAACCAATATGTATCGTGATCCGCGGGCAGATATTAGGCTGACACCCTCGAATGAAACAAAACGCCCGGGATACATCAGAAGAATATATTGTATGACATTCAACAATTCAGGCAATGGTCGGATCGGCAAGCTGCCCAGGAAATCTCGGTGGGCCACTCAAAATATGGGCCAGTCATGAGTGTTAAGTGGTAACTTGTTCTTTTTATGATAATGAGAAATGAGTAAAAACATGAGTATAGAAATATATAATTTAATGAAACTCAGTGGGCCGATACCATGACTATCCTGTTACACCGTAACCGACTCGACAAAGGACGAAAACGCAACACGACAGTAGTATACCACTAAACCATGGTATACAAGATGAGTGGACGGAAAAAGACGGATTACTTGTCATTGCATAACAACGGCGTGCAAGAACACAGCGATACGGAAACGCAAACAAACGTGACATGCCACATACAAGATGATAAAATATATAAATTCGACAGTAACACTCAAGGCGGAACGTGCCACAACAAAATACGTATGCACATTGAAATTAAGATGACACTTACGGCTAAGGCGGACATGTAACAAAAACGGCCATACACCGTCAGCGTAATTAATAAAATAATTCGTGATGCTATAAAAAAAACGGCTGTCGCGACATAGTGACATGGCTGGCATTTGGACGCACACTTGGTCAAGGCAGAAGACGGGACATGACATGTGAACATATTATTATGCATCCAGTTGGCGCAGGACAGTGACCGGATGTACATAGTATATCATAATATTATATGACTATTATTAAAGTTAAAATGTGCACTTTCGGTTCATGCTCTTGTAGCGCTATCATCCGACATTTTTACCTCCATAATATTATGTACCTACATAGCAACAAATCGATACCCGATATGTGACAACATATATGTGCATTGACTATTGATTATGTTTTTATGTTGAACGATCAAGAAACATGTTCTTATATGATTTCATGAACAACAACAATGATTTTGGTTCTTTAGTTGTGATTTTTCCTAATGATTATATTATGTTCAAAGTTTCCTCCCGAAAACATTCCATTAAAAAAATTCTTTCTGTTTTAACACCTTTTATAGATAGTTCATAGTTATACCTATGATTTATTTTTATAACATTACATTTGTATATACCATATATAATTTCCAAGTAGTTTAATTTATTTATCCTTTATTAAATTTAAATAATGCAATTTATTAACCAGAAAATATATGTAATTGTTTCTAACTCAATCGTCTACCATAATGTATAGCTATTTTTTATAATGCTTGATACCTTGTTACTTCTGGTGTGGATGTATCCTATGAAACATAATAAACCAATTAATTCATAACACTTTTTAAAATTAAAATACTAAGAAAAATAGCTACCTAAGTCTTAAAAAAAATTGTTCTTGTTTATTTAGTCGTATTTATTGAAAGATTAAGTTTTTACAATTAATATAATAAATACACTTTACAAGTACAGGACCGTTAATATTTTTGTCTATAACAGCAGATTTTAGGAGCCCAATTTATTTCTATTATATTTCTAGTATATAATAACATAGGTATAGCCGATACTCAATTCAAAAATTAATGTATGTCTTTCCATTTTAGATTAAAGTTAGTTGGGTTATTGTGATATTTGTGGATTCGAATGATTACAGCGCAGTACCAACAAAGTGACAAGTTTAAAATGACACAAATAATCTAAAAAATAGTTGTGTACGGTTTTGTAAATGGCCATTTGGTCGAGTAACCCGCAGTACCTACTGACATTTATGATACCCTCGATCCAGAACCAACTTGGTTTGAGTATGGTATTAAAATAGTTTGTAGCAATAGAACATGGTATGTAAAATAAAATCTATTTAATAGTTTACAAAGTTTATATTTATTATTATTTTAAGTATGTAGATACCTATTCATAACGTAGTATGCTTATGGTATTATAGTAAATAACATGTATGTTATTTTTTAAAAAATATATACACTTTTTTAAAAATTAAATAAATTTACTTAAAAATGATTTTATTTTGTTGTCATTTTTTCTAATTTAAGAATTACCAACAACTTGGATAATTTTAAAAAAGGTGGCATCACGAGTTGAAAAAGAATCGGAAAATGAAGAGGTTCAATTGATGACCAAACGTAAACGTACAACACTTGATGTATCGGACAGTAGCAGTAATGAGGGTAATTAATGATTTCAATCTATCCTGATTATTAGAATAAGTTACTCAAGGTTAGGTCTAAAATTTAGAAAACTATGGGTTGTAATACTTATAAACTTAAACATGTTTGAAATTATTGTGTTTAGAATTTTAGTTCCTGCAGGGTACTGTATAGCAATAGCACCTTCATCAACTTCTACATTTAAGTTACCCAGTAATGAAAAGGCTGTACACTATACAGAGTATAAAACACCTTGATTGAAACAATGAACAAAACAACCAAATGAAACATTGAAAACATTATTATCGGATCAAATGAGTAAGCAATCATCTTCAGTGTATCAACTACCATACATTCAATCAAGTTTAAG